TGATATTCCTGTCAACTTCTGGTTCAAACAATTTTCCTTCTTCGTCAACCTCGGTTTCATAATATTTTTGTCTGGCAACAGCAACACACTGAATGTTTTCCAGTTCTTTAATGGGTATTTCTACTCCAACAAAGGAAACACCCTAATTTTGAAATGTTTAAAACAAAAGTTATGCACCACCATATATAAACTTTAATATTATACATGTGTAAGTAATATTTATGGAATGTTCTAATTGTGATTAAGATAAATAAACACTGTGTAATGGATAATTTTATTGAGCGTTATAAAAATATTGATCTACATAATGATTAAACCCAAGGTATGCGTAATTGGGCGAATAGAATCTACTTACTTTACTTTAAATTGCGATTTTACGAAAGTCTGTCGTTAGAATTTCGTTCAAAAATGATATATGTTATTTCTGAAATCATTTTTATTTGAATAAAACGAAAATATTAAGGGGTCACCGTCTTGTTCTTTTGATCACTACCAGCAAAAATTTGCGATTTTGACACCTCATCTTAATACGTAAATACTATTATAAAATGCATATTTACCAAGTTTTAGTAATATGCACACTAAAACGAAGAAAAAAAGAGATTAATTATTTACTGTTTTTGACCTTGACCAAGATGTGTAACGTGTTTTAGCTCTGTGGCATGTCGGGAGGAGATTACATTCACATAAAGGCTTGTTCGCTTAGTATTTGTAACTTAATTCTTAGCGAGCTAATGACTGTACTAAAGCTAGCAACCATACAATTATAAGAAAATAAAAAGAACATGCGTGCAACTGTTTACAAGCTAAGAGTTTCAAAGTAGATCGTATTTAAAAGTTTCGTTTTGAATATTTGTTAACGTATATCTTGACAAAAAACGTATATCTGAAACTGTGGTGACATTATATTAATTTTTTCGACCAGTAAAGTCTAGCAAACACTTTCCCATGGCCACTAAGATAGTGTAAAAACAATGCGTGTATTATTCTCTGGTAATATCACGTGGACAGATGAGAGCGTGGTTTAAATTACGGTACTTAACAGATCGTCATTAGGTACCCTATACAATAGAAATAGAACAAAACTAAAATGCATTAAAGATATTTTAAATATGTCTAAAGAAACAGATATAAGTATTCTTTTTGCATTTTTGATACTTTACAAAAGACTTAAGTGCAGTTTTTTATGTTTTGTTTTAACTTTTCTTGCCTTTTTGTTTGTGTCGGTAAAAGGCGTGTCTTAACAACTTAAATACAGTTTTTTATGTTTTGTTTTAACTTTTCTTGTTTTTTTTTTGTTTATGTCGGTAAAAGACTTGTTCAATTTTCAAAACTTCACATTCGATAAAGTTTCATGGTAAGAAAATTTATATTATCGAATTTTGTGATGTCTTATGGTTAAATCGAAGTCAATTACCAATCCGAAAGTTATGCTGGCTTTTCACTTTTAAACTCATAACGTATTCTATAGGATTAACACGACAGATATGGGAGCAGGTTCTGCTGACCTATTCTGATCACCTAAAGATCAACACTATTATTTGGGATTATTCGTGATGCTCAGTCTGTTGTTTTTTGGTTTTTTTTTTCGCATATGTTGTTTGTCATTTGGTCCGTTTTCGTTTTTTGCTTTGCCATTGCAAAGTCAGTTTTTCATAGTTATTTTAGGTTGAATATCTACTTGTTAACGTCCACCTGTCTGTTTGTGTAAATTTCATAATTAATGGACTCATTAAGGCAAATTTTTATTTTTTATGCATTTATAATTTTTCGATTTTCAGATACAGTTTAACGAGTTCTAAATGCATACACAATATCACCAAATTTTCTTCCCCTTAAAGGATGCTTTTATATGAATACTTTTTTTTTCAATTCATGGTACTTTGGTTTATATTGATATTAAGAAATTCAATGTGTTTTGTTCATTTTTGACCAATATTAAAGAAAATATTGTTGTTAAAAGAAACGAAAAAAATACTAAATGAACCCCACTTCACTTTAAGAAGAATTTTAAGATATAAATAGATGAAGCTTTTCACATTATTTATGTTCCTGCCCTATTTCAGTGATCTTGTCAGTATTTGCCTAGTTATGAATGCAGTTGGTCGTTTATGGAATTTTTGGTAACGGCAGACCTTTTATAGTCTCTGTAAACTTAATCTATTGACCATGGCACGTTGCTATATAGACCTTAACACATCGTATTGATGCTTGTCTACTCTTGAGAACCTTATTATAATATTCTTAAAAATTTGTTTTCGTGTCGTTAAGTATCAATCTTTTTTTAGATAAAAAATTGCACAATCTTCAAACCAACATTTTTCTAAAAATTCGACTGGATTTTCAAAGTTTAAAAAACAAAATGTCGAAATAAGATGCTATGCAAATGCTGAAAACTGGTTTTCTTTTACCAGTTTTTTTGCTTTACAAATCATTATCATTATGTTTATTTTCCCCTCAAAGCTTCTAACAACTAAGACCAACATGAATTGTTAAATTGTTAGCGGTTTTCAGTGATTTCTTTTGTAAAATGTCTTCTCATACAAGCAAACATGTTCAAAATGAAATTCCATAGATCAAATAGCATATGAACAAATGTATTTTTCCTTACCTCACTAAATTGAACAAATATCAAGTGTCTAGTAAATACCCCCCTTTTCCCCCTTAATCAAAACAGTTCTATGTACTTCTGAAAATTAAATCTTTCTTTCGAATCATCAACTATGTATGTCATTCATATAAACCATTCGGAAATTAGTATATTTTGTATAATTTCTTGATTTCCTTGTTTTACGTCAAATTTTAAGTATATTTCAGATTTGCAAAGTATATGCGCACCCAGGAAACAACTTTATTTTGATTGATATTATGTCAATAATTATAATCAAGCTTTTCTAAAATTGTGTCGTTCTTTCTTGGCTGCTCACGATGTTTCACAATTGAAATAACGACGGAAACTGCATAAATTCAGTATTTTTTTCATCGTTTTGAATGAACACGGTATTTTTATGACGTTATTGTGACGTCATCAGATTAAAAAAAAATGTGTTTTTCATTTGTATTTCTTGACTCTATACATTTTCAAATATTATGTGCAAATTTGGAATAGTTGTCAAGCAATTTATTTTGTTGGACTAAAACCGGGTCTAAATGCCCCTACTCCTTTGGGTCTGGTTCCGTAGCCGAGAGTGCACACTTCGGCCTGATATCCGAGCGACTTTGATTTAAATCCAGAAAGCAAAGTCCTAAACGTTGAAAAATGGATTTCACATATTAAATAACTTGACTTGTGATTTTGAGCTGAAGAACAGCATTAACAGCGCTGTTCTTTTGCTTTGTGTGTGTATTGTGCTGTATTTCCCCCATCTTTCGTTCAATGTCGTCTGTTTACTTCGTTCATTAAAATCAATTTTTTAGAAAAAATGGAATCATCGAAGGATTAAAACTATAATATAATTCTGACTTTTAGATAGTTCTAGGACCAACACATTTTACTTAAACATTTTGTCGCTAAAAAGCTCAGACATATCAATTTCCACTAAATGCACGGTTTTCGGGACAAGCTTAAGGTTGCATTTCTGTAAATATTGACAATGCAATTTCCCATAGGTACTCCTTTTACGGCTAAAACTGTACCACTTTTACTATGAAGTTTGGAAAAAAATCATATCCTAGAATGGAAAGTTCATATGCACTACTATTTTTTTCAAAGGTCAAAATATAGGGCTGTGCGGCATATTTTTAACGTTTATATGCCCCGAACTTCTGAGAGTTTAAACTAAGACTAAATTTCTTAACTACCCCTACCTTAACTGTAGGATTACCACAGATTTCAATATAAACAATTTGCATATGTATATTTACTGGTAACATTCCCAAGTTATGTCTCTCTGAGATGAAACATAGAGATCATAACTGAGAATCAGTATGTAAACAACATTAATTATCTATGAATATTCTATATCTCTCCAAAAGAGGCGTGGTTTGAGAAACAGTTGTATTTACAAAGTGCAACCTTAAGATAGGCCATTCAAGAATCTGTGTTCCTTTACAGTTAGTTAAGATTTATCAAAAGTTCTTCATGACTTTTCAGGGGAAAAAAACCCGCAAAATTGTGCCAATTTTACATAATGAACAGTATTCTGTGTCTTATTTTCATGTATGAGCATTTACTTATCACAAATATCATTTGCAAATTAAGGGAATATAGATTATATTTGAAACCAGCACATATCAAGTATGATGAAGACAAACCAATATTCCTATTCACCATATGAAGACGTCGAGTCGTGGAATCTTTTTGAATTATATATAATAGTAAAGCTTAATAGCTATTCTAAATACATATAGTTTGTTCAACCTAGCCCGAAATTCCACCGATGAATAAAGGCAACAGTAGTATACCGTTATTCGAAATTCATAAATCGATTGAGGAAAAAACAAATCCGGGTTTGTAACTAAATCTGAGGGAAACACATCAAATATAACGACACAACAGAAACACAACACTAAAATGCAACACATACAGACATTAACTATAATATAACAATGGCCATTTTCCTGACTTGGTACAGGACATTTTAAGAAAAAAATGGTGGGTTGAACCTGGTTTTGTGGCTAGCCAAACCTCCTACTTTTATGGCAATGTTAAATTTAACATTAAAATGACAAGACAGGACTACAATACAAAAAAATGGGAGAACATACAGGACAGAGACACACACAAATAATAGCTATCAAAAGGTACCAGGCTTATAATTTAATACGCCAGACGCTCGTCTTAAAACCCTTTTAAACTTTCTTTGTGGAATAAATGAGGGTGTTATAAAATTCAATGAGGTTAACAGTTTGTGCATATTCCTTTACCCTGGTATACAATAAAATGTGTGGCGAGACTAAGATACAAAAATATGACTTGCTACATTGTAATTGCACAATTCAAATTGCATCGCATATCTGTTATAATACACTAACAGACAAATCGTACCTCAAATGTCCTTTTCCCTTTCTTGTATTGTATTGTGATAACAGAGGAGATAATTTGCTCGTCATTGGTTTCCAAACATTTATCTAGATCTTCAACAGCGTCAGAGGCTTGGCAGCTAAAATCATTCTCCTGAATTCCATCTTGCATTGTAAATAAAACACAGCAGATTTTCTGATGGAAGCTGTTTTGTTTTGTATTGTAATATCTAATTAAGAAGAAAGTTTGTTGTTAGAAAAATAACTAGCACTTTCAATAAATGATCGTTTAAAGTATAATTTTAACATTAATTCGCAAACTTTTTACACTCGTTGCTATTTACAGCTTGTCATAGTATATACATATATATGTGTACATGTATACCGTTGGAAACCATATGTTAACGTCGGTCGTTTTTTGTGAAATTACGTAGTTTTCTTATTGACTAATACATGTCATAGTCCCAGCTACCTTTTTAGACAAATGGATAATATCATTAATAATGGTATCAGAATAGCTGCATATAAAACACTATTTAAATAATTTGCTATATATACAATAATATTTCAGAAAGATATAACAAATGAAGTAAAATTACATGAATGGTGGCCAGTTTTTCCAATCTCACTTTTTCTTTTCGATCCCTTGTTTTCTTCGTTTCTCCTCAGCATCACGTTCTTCTTCGTCTTTTCTTCGTTTATCAGCTTCTTCCTTCTCTCTTTTTTCTCGTTCTTCCTCTTCTTTTTTCTGTCGTTCTGATTCTTTTCGTTCTTTCTCTTCTTTTTTCCGCCGTTCTGCTCTTTCATTTTCCCTTTTCTTTCTTTCTTCTGTTTCTTTAATTTCTCTTTTCTTCCGTTCTTTTTCTTCTTTTTTGTGTCGTTCTGCTTCTTTCTGCTCTCTTTTTTTTCGTTCTTCCTCTTCTTTTTTCTGTCGTTTTTCGTCTTCCCTTTCTCTTTTCTTTCTTTCATCTGCTTCTTCCGCTTGTCTTTTCTTACGTTCTTCCTCTTCCTTTTTCTGGCGATCTTCTTCTTCTTTTTTCTTTTTCCTCCTTTTTTCTGCTTCTTTTTCTTCTTTTTTTCTGCTTTCCTGTTCTTCTATTGTTTCCAAAACATCACACCATTTGTTCATTTGATTTTTAAAGCCAGTTATATCGGATTCAGACAACGCTGCGTCACTTTCAATATTCAAAACAAGGGTTTCTGTTTTCGCTATGAAGTCCATCAGTTCTTGTTGTTGTTGTGCAAGTCTCTGCATTGTCTGAACTTGTTTTAGAGCTTTCAGATCAATATCATTCCTTTTTGGTGAAACACTAGGAAAAATATTCGATAAATTTAAATTTACCTTACATTTTGCATTTGAAGATTCTTTTCAAAACAAAGAAAAATACCTTAGAAATACTTGGCTTTTTAATTTTTTCATTTATCTTATTAATAACCTTTCCAAACCATAATTCGTTATACATTTCAAGTAAATCAGTTCCTTGAGTACACAGGTTTGTCAAAAGAGGATGTACCCTAGCATTTTTTTTAATTTTGTTAATATTGGTAAAGAGTTCAATGATGCATGTGCTAAGGGACACAAAATTAAAAGGCAATGAAACAGATTTACTCAAGTATACGTTTACGAATGATAGTGATAGTAACAGTATAATCTATGAAAAGGTATTTTATTTGACGACGATATAATTGAAAGAATAAAATAATTAGATATTCATGTATCGATAAACTTCCACATTTGAAATTTTAAGTTTGAATCCTAACTATTTTAGCTTAGGCATAATATATTGAACAATTAATAAAAATACTTCATACGAATAAACTTCGGAGGTACACTTCTTAGATAACATTTTGTATATCTCTTTTATATTCTAGCTGTCATCGAAGAGGTGTTATTTATGAGTGTTTAACATGAAACATATTTATACAACATTGAAATTTACCTTTCTTCACGTTCTTTACTGTATATAACATGATGTTGCAGAGATGGCAACCAATATTTCAGCAATGCAAGAAGAACAAAATAAAGAACAAAAAAGTGAAAAAATAATATAAAAATGTATCACAAAATTTTATGTTCATATTATTTCATAAACATCTATCTGACATCAATATAAATGAATAAAAAAAAGACACAGTAGATGTAAAAAAGAGGCGACGGATATCAAAGAGAGTTTCAAACCCATAAGTCGAAAACAATCTGACAAAGTCATGGAAAAAACGAAAAACGAACAAAAGACAAACAACAGTACACCAAACACAACATAGAACAATTGAGACTGACCAACCATACCGAAACCACGGTTGATGTCAGGTGCCCCAAGAAGCAGACCAGGCTCAACATGTGGTACTCGTCGTAGTACTTAAGCACGTACAGACCTGAGGCTAAATTTAAATTGTAAGGTCACATTGTGGGAAAAGGATTGCGAATTGTAGTTACGACGATTGCAATATATCCGTTGTCATCTTTGAATCAGATAGTTTACAACGATTAACCAAATCGTGATGACGTCTATAAAATATTCGAGGAGATGATTTCAACTTTTGAAAATCTTGCTTTGATAGCTTCTTTTTAAGCAGCAAACCTCTACCATGGAAAGCATGATAGTAAATGAAAGCTCTTGAATATCGTATCAACTGGGAGATGTAAACTCCGTACGCAGGTGCTGCTGGAATATTGCTACATATGATTTGAAAGTACACAATAAGGAATCTGAAATCGTCCCTGTTGTCGAAAAGTTTTGTTTTCAACCGACCCTCCTTGTCAATTTCAAGATAAATAAATCAAGTTATGAGGCAGACTTAATTGCATCGGTTGGTTTCTTTATTTCAAGTTCGATGGGATAGATGCGTTCAGCATTGTCACATTGAATTTGTAGCGAGAGGATATTATTTATATAGCAGAACATGACGCTAACGTATAATGCTAGGGTCTATTCATTCTTCCTAAGTGTTTCCTGTATGAGGTCAGCCTAATTTAAATAGAGGAACATGTCAGGAAGAAGAGGAGCACAGTTGGCTACCATTGGAATGGCGATTGGTTATTGAAAAACATTCAAACGTTACAAATAGAGATACTAACATTCTTGGTTTTAACCCAAAATTTATGAACAAGAGGTTATCAGCCAGGTTAATAACTTAGCATTCAAACTAGTTTAAACATCAGGCTCTTTTAAATATTACTTCTTTTGCAAATTTAATTTACAGATCTAGAGGTGCCATTAGAGGTCACAAATAGAAACATAATATACAATTTCTTGAATGTGTGCTTTAGGATAGTCACTGTTCCTGCTTTAGAAAGGGGATAAGTTTATTTGGTGCCTGTTTGCTCAATATACAAGCGCACAATGAATTGTAAATCCGTGTATTCGGAACCTACATAAATTTCTATCTCTCAGTCGAATGTGTAAGATCTGCGGCTGCTGACAACTGAATTCGATTAACAAACATTTGAAAATATGTGAGTTACATTATTACACTATTTACATAAGGAATAAGTTCTCTATTCAGTTACTTCGTCGAGTACTTAGCGTTGTGTCATATTTACTTGTCTCTCTTAAATTTATTTTGACATTTCGTAGTGATGCATGATAAAACTGACCACTTGATTTACTTTGGCAAACTTGTGTTGAAAGGTTGCTAACTGGATAACGTTTTTTTTTTTCAATTCTTATTATATTTTCTGTATTTTAATTCATAGAATAACTACAAATATATGTATATTTCATTACCTAGTCTGTGGCCTTCCAAATGACAAGGATGCAACTGTAAAAGAGCCTTAAATATTCACATCTTATAAACGTTACATCAGGATACACATACACAAAATGTTCAAAGCACTTTATAATTTTTGTGGATCGTGTAAGTGTCGAAATGCACCATCCTTGACTTTGATATTTGTATAATTCTGAGAATCATACTTATCAGAGTGCATTCTCTAAATCTGCTTGAATTTTATTAGGTAAGATATTCTTTATTGATGTACACTGTCTCTTCATATTTCAATGAGTAGAGAAATATTTCAAAATTTTCCCGACGGAAAAAATAACTATACAAAATAAATAAAAGCTATTTGTCCAAATCGACAACCTTCAAAAACAACTGTGAAGAATTGTAGCCGACTATGATTTTTATCAGATTCTCGATTTCAATAAGACATTCACATATACACAACTAGGTAAAACATTTGGTTTTATTACAAAAGGAAACTTTCTACTAAGGAAAGGTTAATGGTTTTACAGCAACCCTTTTGTGATATTAATTGTTCCAAAACAATATAATGCATTTCTAGCAATTACTTATAATGCATAAAATATCAAAAATGCAATTGGTTTGACAATCACCTACATGTACTTTTATTTCATGCACCTTACACAGTCCCGCCCTAACAATGAATGTTTTTGGACAAAACTACTGTTTTCTTTGGTTTTCAATATTTTTTACTTTGAGTGTATTGGTAAATATATAAAACACTTACGTTCTTGATTACCGCCACTGTTTTGGCGACCTCTATAAAAGGTCAGGGGTGGAAAAAGTAATATATCCATCTATGAATGTGAACTGTGCTGATAAAAGAATAACACAATGGTGTACTATGACATTTGATCTTGTGGAGTGTTGTCTCATTGGCAATCATACCACATCTCTTATTTCTATATTAGTGAAAAACAATTTGTTAGAAGAAAATGATTTAAATTCACAATATTGATTACATAAACAATCGTGTTGGTTTTTAAGGACTGTATATAAGTATACACACAGGTGTTGATTGGTTAAGTGATAATGCCATCCTGTTATTGCACGGCTAATGAAGATTTCGCAGATCTAAAAACTATTAGCGTAGAGGACCACAGTAACCAATTGTTCATCATGGTTTGACTCTGTTGAAGAAAAAATGTCAGAGGTGTGACATGTACAATCTAACCTAAGCATTGTTTGTCAGTAATGTTTTTACATCTCACATTAACAGCCTAGATAAGATAGCTGGTTAAAGAGAGGCAAAGGGTACCAAAGGGACATTCAAACTCATAAGTCGAAAATAAACTGACAACGCCATGGCTAAAAAAATAAAAAAAAGACCAACAGACAAACTACAGCACGCAAAACACAACTCTGGAAAAGTAAGCAGATCCTGCTCCACATTTTGTACCCGTCGTGTTACTCATGTAACATGTTTAAGTACAAACCTGGTAAAATGTCTAATTCGGTAGGTCACATTCGGGGGAAGGGGACGGGATTGTAGTTACGACAATTGGAACATATCCGTCGTCATCTGTAAAACAGATATTCCATAACGGTCAACCAACTCGTGATGGCATTATATTATCAATATGTCATGTTTGTACAAATCATTTTTTAAAATGTTTAAAAGTCTTAAATCACAATAACCTTCATTTTCTTACACTCAGTTGACTGTAAGTTTTAAGAATTAAGTGTAGTATGTAAGCTAACCGTTTGCAGAAACTGAATTATGTTTTGAAAACAATTACGATGTTGACTACAATCCTTCACGACATTTGCACCTTATACAATATGCTCATTTTTTACGGTCATCTCATCTTAATGTGTGCTAAATACAACAACATAGTATTGAAAAACAATGATAAAAAGGAACTTTGAAATGGGATTTGGATGAATGATTGTTGCTCTCTAAACATCTCTTAAAAATGTATAAAATTAAGTGCAGAATAAACTATCTTAATCAGAAATACTTCTTATATAGTGCCATGTCATTATTGAATGATAAATATTGTTAAAAACAAATTATCAACAATCAAATCACATTACAAATCAGGAGACAAAGATGTTAAATATGCAGTTTTTCAGCTACGGACAGGTTTCTACACAATACTTAATAGTATAAATCTTGAACTATATTATCCAGGTAGCACATACAACTAGTCAGAATAAACTTCTAAAAAATAATAGACAACAATGTATGCACCATGTATGCTTCCTTTTTTAGTAGAATTATTCAGACTAATGTTTAATATAAGAAAAAAAGCTTATTTTTATTAGTAAGTATATACATACATATAGTCTTATGCTCTTGATATCAATATTATGAAGTATGTATTGATTGCGTTTGAAAATGAAACACCTGCAGAATGTCTGATAAGTTACATAGTATATTAAAATATGATATGAGAATGAATGAAACGTATTCATCATGTATATCTGCCTGAATAAATAAAAACGATTTGTACACAAAATATTTACAAAAAGAACCAGTAAATTATTCTTTGTTTTACCCCTTTGAATTAAAGTAAAACAAAAACTCACGTAAAACGTTGAAGCAGTTGATATGTGATTGAAATAATACAAATTAAAGTTATTGATATTATTGATTATAGGTATTTGCTTGAAAATTTACAAGGGAGACAATGTTTCAGTTTAGTTTTAATAAGATAGAGTAATCTCCAATTGCACAGTATTTCTGCTTTAACAAATTGAACATAAGGGAAAATGTTTCTTTTCATCATAATAATCATTTTTTATTCATTATTGACCTTATTTGTCAACATTCTTATCTTAAATCCGAACGAGACCTACCGAATTAGAGTTATCACTGGGTTTGTACTAACATGAGCAGCACGATGGATGCCACATGTGAAACAGGGTTTGCTTACACTTCCAGAAAAACCAGAGATAGTTTGAATGTTGCTATCTCTTTTGCCTCTCCCTTGTGATTTACGTTTGTATGGCTCTTTTCACATTATTACTTATCGTACAGCAATGTTAATGCATTCAGGCTATATATTAATAAAAAAAATACAGACAAGGCAGAGAGAGTAAGACAATTCACATTACATTTGACGTTTACATTATCTAATACAACACAGGGCCTCGGTGGCCGAGTGGTTTCATCTACTGTATCACTAGCTTTTCAACACTGATTTTTTGGGATATGAATCTGCATGTGGCAGGTGACTTCGTCTCCAATATTAATTGACTGGGACTTTCAGTTTCCCTGTCGAGTGTCGTTTATTCTCTTCGT